GCTTGTCCGCCCTATTCCGCCCAGCCTCCAGCGCGTCTGCCCTTTTCGACGTAGCCCTCTGCTCGTCTGCCTTTCATGACGCTGTCCTCTGATCGTCCGTCTTATTTGGACATCTCCCTTTCACCGTCCGTCTAATTTCGACGAATCCCTACCACCGTCCATCTAATTTCGACGCAGCCCTCTGCTCGTCTGCCCTTTTAGACGCAGCCGTCTTATTTTACCCAGCCCTCCGCTCGTCCCTCTTTTTATACTCTGCCCTCCGCTCGTCCGTCTTATTACACCTTGCCCTCCACTCGTCCGTCTTATTTTGACGAATCCCTCCCACCGTCCGTCTAATTCCGACGAAGTCCTCTGCTCGTCTGCTCTTTATGACGCAGCCTTCCGCTCGTCTTCCCCATTTTACCCAGCCCTCCGCTCGTCTGTCCTGTTTTAACATAGCCCTCTGATCGTCTACCCTTTTGGACGCAGCCCACCACTCGTTCGTCATAATGTGACCTAGGTCTCTGCTCGTCTACCCTACATCGCAGAGCACTCCGCTCGGTCGTCCTATTCTGACGTAGCCTTCTGCCCGTCTGCCCTTCTAGACGCAGCCCTTCGTTCGTCTACGCTTTTTAACGTTACCCTCGCTAATCTGCCTTTTTACATTTCCACACTGGACTCATGCCCCTTTATCGTAGCAACACTAGGCTCATCCGCTCCTTTTTTGAGCAGCACTGGGCCCGTCCGCCCTCATCTGACCAGCGCTTGGCTCCTTTGACTTTTCCCGAACAGCACTGGGCTCGTCTGCTATCTTCCGAGCGCCGATGCTTCGCTTATTGTATTTTCAGTCATCGCTGCGCTCGTCTGCCCTGCTTAATCAAGTCCCAGCTTCCTATTTCTAAGGCCGCGTCGTGCTCGTCTTCTTTTCCTCCCCGAGCCACTGAATTATGTGACCTTTATCTCAGAGCAGCTTAGCGCACGTCTGCCCTCTTCGCCTAAACCTCGGCGTCATCAAAATTTTTACTTGAGCCTCGCTTCGTACGCAGCTTTTCTGAGGCCGCACTGTGGTTTATTATGATCATGGAAGAGCAAAAGTCCTATGACCGTCGATCGGCTCTAAAAAAATTTTGAAAGCATCATGTTTTTTCCAAAAAAAGTTTTTTCCATTGTATTTTTTGTCGTTGATCCTGAATCTAAAGTCAAATTGCCAGTTTGGCAGTTAGCAGTTGTCATGACAGCTGTGATGACAATTGACTTGAAACTTGCGTCCAGGAAACGCGAAAACAGTAGGGTGACTTTTTCTGTTTCCGCGTATCAAATTTTGTCGAACTTTTAAGTTGTCGAAACAATTTAATTTCAGTTTCGTGTTCAGCGATGAAAAATACAATGGGAAACACATGTTCGAGATCGAAAAACAATTGTGGAGCGTACAGTTGCCAGCGCGACCTTGCTGGAAGCGAAAAACTGAATTTCCCAGTTTTTGACTGTGAGCTCGAGAAAAAGTATCACACCGAACTTTGTAATCGCAAAAATCGGTATCCTTTTTCATTCTAGGCCCTTCAAGGTACAACTTGCTGTTTTTAAAATTTTTTGAGAGCCAAAATCGACGGTGATAAGATTTTTGCTCATTTTAAATTCAAAATAAACCTCAATGGGACGCCCCGTCTGCGTCCGCAATTCTCTTAGGTCGCACTGCGTTCGTCTGTTCTCATGCCCCCCAGTCTCATCCCCCGTTTCGTTTATTCTTCTCAAAATCCGCACCTTCGCCACATCCACTACTCTCTCCGAGCAGCCCGGCACCTTTGATTCATTACGGATCTTCTTTCGTATGTCGGTTTTTTAAACGATGAAGTTACCATACGGAACAGTGCAACGAGATATTGATTTAAAAAAAAATTATGGAAATTTGTTTTTGGACTTTCTTTTAACCGAAAAGTGGCGACGACTTTTATAATTTTCAGTTTTTTATTATTTATAATTCTTAATTCAACTTAGAAAAATTGATGTACACACATTTACGCACTTTATGAAAAGCGTTTCGCTTCCCAGACTACGACTTAAAGTTCTAATGGGTTCTACAATAATCCTAACTATTTTGATAATTGTAGCTTGCTCGTTAGATTGATAATGATATTTCAGAAATGCGCAATGTATTGTAGATCTAGTCTTCAGCATTGCGATATTTTCTTTATAATTATTATGTGCTGGAAATAATTTCATGACTAATGATCATTACTGAAATTCAAATTTCACTTACTTGATTCGAGGCGCCGAGTTGCTGCAAGCCATCGTAGCGACAGCATTTTTGTTTACGAGCCGCCTACTTGCCAAAACGCGTTTTTTCTCTGAGATTTAAAGCTCCTTCTATTATAGGCCCTATTAGAGTCTCACCCATAGTCTGAAATTCAGATGTGATACGATTCGCACGCGTGAGAAATTTTAGGATGGATTTTCTGTGTGTGACTAGTGTAAATCGTCTCGCACAGGCGAATTGAGACTTTTTTCCAAGTGTGATGACACATCAGGGGTGAATTTCTCACATGGGAATTTTCAGCCGAGGGTTGTCAGTATTTATTTATTATTATTTTATTTCTTAATCTCAAAAAAACGTATAACCAAGCTAATTGGAAACACACTGTACGCCTCTACCTATTGATCGCAATTTTCTCAAATGCAAAAAAAAGCAATGATGTAGTAGCCGATCGTAGCGATTTTCAGTATTAAATGAATATAATTCTTAAGTAAGACAGCAAGTTTGAATTCGACGACCACGAATACAAAATAATCTATTTCGCAAAATAAACACAAAAGCTTTCACGTGCATCATTGTTATAAGTCAATCGGTATTGAACCGTTCTTATTATTGATACGCGTTCAATCAATGAATATGTATATCAGTATGTAGACATGGGAGCTCCGTGTTGCACGATTGGGTTGAGCACCGCTTGCAATCAGCGGCGCCGCGCGCCGCTAGCCCCCCCTCATTGCTCCGCGCTCGCCACCAAGCACCCGTTCTTCTAAAGCTGTGCGCTGATTGGCAGATCTTTGAAGCTAATTATCTAATTACCTAATTATTTAATCGAAAAACTAAGAACAAAATTATAAATTAATTTTTCGAGACGAATTGAATGGAATTAATAGTTACATATGTTTTTGAATCTCCCTGTATATGTTCTTTACATAATCATTTTCTTTTTGATGCTTTTATTTGTTATGAAAATATTAAGTTTGTATCTTTCGAGCCTTTAGGCCATGGTTTTTTCATGCATTTAGAATCAGAAGTATGAAACCAGCAAATTTCTTCGCGTAATATATTAAAATAATTCCCATTTTCCAAACTTGGTCCACAATGAAAAATTGCACTTATTACCCTAAAACATTTATCATCGATAGAAAGTTTCGCCTTTGGCACATCATTAATCTTGAATCCAGTTAATTTATTATTGTCTGAAAATAATGACATCATAATTATTAAAATCTTTTCTAAATCAATACGGAGAGATACTTTTTTTTGTTTTTTATATTTACAGTTATTATGACAAATTTCGTGAATGTCGCGCCACACATTAATATTTTCATCAATAATTTGCTGCAAAGTATATGCTCTATTTGTTTCTGTATTCAAATATACATTTCAAATACAATTAAGGGCATCTTATTCCTATTGTAAGTTCATGTTTAGTAAGTTTTCCTATTATGTCAAACTTCATACATATATCCGATAAATAATCTGCAGCATCTTTTTGAATTAGGAATCAATACTTTGTAGTATTAAGAAAATTTGAAAGTGGAACTTGTTGTACGTAGTGGAGCAGGGCAGTGAGGCAGGACACAAACACAATAAAAACAAGTTATGTATAAGTCACTTTATTGAGGAAAGTACCGGCTAGAACGGCGGCTAGTCGAGAAGTCAAGTAAGAGGGAACGCTATGCGCGCCAGCAGCGGCGACAGAGCAGAGAAGCGCGAATGCGCCATACACATACATACATACATCTACACAGCTCTTCGAAATCCATTTCAACAGGACTAAATCAATCGGAGCTTAGGTAATGTATTGTTTAAATATTTGTAAAAGTATATCTTGATGCTTACATTCAAGCAAATTTTTTCTAATCAATTGGCAATGAAATATATTCTGTATACATGATTTTGCGTAAGATAAGATATTTTTGACCGGATCCATTTCAGATCGGGCAGGCCTACGGCAATGATATCTCCGATTGACTCGGCTGTGGAGTATGTTATTCTACTTCAAAAATAAGCCGACACGTATTTTTTTTTTCGATTAGACCTCTACATCATTTTTTACGAGTATTTTAAAAAAGTGGTTAAAAAATAAATTTTTTAAAAATCAAATATTAAAATTAAAAAAATGCTCTATATTTTCTAATTTTTTTACTTAATATTGTAGTATATTCGATACGTTCCAATTTGTTGGTTACTAAGTGATTGTTTGGTTGCTAAGTAATCTGTATTATTATTAGTTAGTTAGTTGTGTTCATGAGCTGATATTATATACACACGCTATTTTCAACGATTCTAATACAAGTTTTAGTTTCTTTTACATATCGTTGTATTTTATTTCATTAATTAGTAGTGGTTATAACATTTTGGGGGCTCGTCCGGGATCCGACATTTGTTTCTTCTATTAAGTTTGAATCTCAACTATGTCTACATACCGGACACCACCGAGGACAAGAGCGCAGGCAGCGGCAAGCGCTAATACAATTACGACGAATATTGCTGATGCCGCTTCGGTTGCTGCTGCAATAGCTGCTGCCTCTGATATCGCCACTAATACACAAGGACATTTTTTTTTTTTTAATTATGCTTTATTAACTAATATAAGTTATTTAGCTACAAAATGAATATTTTACATATTAGTAAACTTATTCTAAATATTATAAAGAACAAATTTTTTTTTTTTTTTTTTTTTTTTTTTATAAATACAGTGTTTGCTTATAACTAACGTGTAGATTGATAAGATATTCAATTATTTTTTAGTAATGCATACGCAGTTCTATGGTTTGATCCCAGACTTTTGGAGATAGTTAAGTATATATCGCATTACGGTGACATTGGGTTTATATAAAAAGGTTTTAATATCAAATGGCGGAAACAAATTGAGTTTGGATAGAGAGCGCAGTAGTAATATTCTTGTATCATCAAATAGTGGACATTGCCAAACTATGTGATTAAGTTCTTGAGTATCTGCGCCGCATTCGCATTTAGGATCACTAATAACATTGATTTTAAATAGGGATTCGTTGAGGCTAATATGATTGCTTCGGCACCTGCATACAGAGGTTATAAACTCTCTTTCGTATCCTTTGTTACTGTACCAAGAAGTGTTCGAATCATCATAGTAATTTTTGAAATAATCTACTCCTTTGGTCAGCCCTTGGTTTTTTATCAGTTTATTTGTTGAATTTACAGCTGTTTTCTTAAATAACGCCCGGTAATCAGTGTGGGGTATTTGTATGACCGTCGGTAGGAGTTCAGTTGCTTTTTTCGATGCTTTATCAGCCATTTCGTTACCAATGATTCCTCTGTGTGCAGGTACCCAAACAACAGTCAACGTTGTGCTATTATTACCCTTAGAGAATTTATCATTTTTCTGTAAAATTTCATAAATATAATGATTGCTTTTAACGGTATTGTTTGGGTTACTTAAAGCTAATATGGCGCCCAGCGAGTCCGAGAAAATCTTAACATTGCGCTCCTTGTTATGTATGGCAATGTCCATGGCACGACTTATCGCAATACATTCTGCAGTATAAATAGATGATACTTTGTAAATACTTTCAGTAATTACAAGATTTAGCTCGGGACATACGCATGCACTACCTACAGAACGACCAGCGTCAGTTTTGCTCCCGTCTGTGTAAATCTTAAGGCTATCATCGTTGGCATAGTACTCTTCAAAAAAGGAGTTTGGTTTATCTTTATTCTGGAATATTACCCCTATTTCAATATTAACAGATATTGGCTTATACAAGATTTTATATTCGTAGCTATACATGGGAGGTAGTGTACTTTTGTAAATTAGATGCTCGATACTGAGTGTGGTTTTTATACATTCTTTTAAAATGTTCACTTTTTTCCTTTTATCCATTATAATATCAGTGGCACAAGGACATTTCGAACAACAATGATGTCACAGACATAACCCAACATACAGGTACTAATTTATTTTTTCCGAATTTAAGTGGCCCTCCAGATACTCCTACACTGCACTCTGTACTTCCTGCTGTTGCATCGACCGTTAACTCGGCTCTGCAAGAGGCATTGCTGTCGTTGAGCGAGTCGCGAGCAATGTCCGATGATCTTCTTCAAGAAGTGACAACATTGCGCGCTCAGCTGGATGCTGAAAAAGCTCAACGCTGTGAACTTGAAAAGGCGCTACAGCTACAGGCCAGCCAAGAGCAGAGTCTCGTAACAGAGCTGCGCGCGCGTAATACAGATTTCTCTAAGCTTCGTCGAGAGTTCAACCGACTTCGTCGGGAAGTCAACCAGCTAAGTCGCTATCCTTTAACCTCACAAACACACGTATTTTGTCACATACTCAACCCAACCTCGCGCAAGCATATCCAGCAACGAATACACCGATTCCACTCACAGATCTAGGGATAGGTTACACTCTAAAAGTCGATACATACGATGGTTCAGCACCACTTTGCGAATTTTTGTGTCAGTTTGAGCTTATTTCAAAAGCTAATCGTTGGACAGATGATAAAAAGATGGTAGTTTTAGGTTCGTGCTTACGTGGTGATACTCGATCTATTCTTAGAAGTTATCCGACATCTGAAACAATAACTTTTCATTCACTGATACAGAAATTAGAAGAAAGATTCGGGGACAAACATTTAGAATCTATTAGTTATTCACTCTTTCACACCAGATGTCAAAAACTAGGAGAAGATTTTCCGACTTTGGCTGCTGATATTGAAAGATTAGCTACTTTAGCTTATTCGGAATGTTCTAGTGCAGTTCAGGATAAAATAGCTTGTTCTCAATTCATCACTGGTACTTTTAATAAAGGGATTAAAGAAATACTTCAGTTAGAAAAAATTACGTCATTAAAGATTGCCTTATCTCGAGCACAAGAAATTAAAACTATCAGGGAAGAGAATAGGACTTCATTTTCACAAAAGAATGAGATTAAAACATCTCAAACTTCACCGCAAAATATATCAGACAAACAAACTGACTTGAAAGCTCCGAATGGAAAAGCTAAGGATTTCAACGTTAAGGATTGGCTTAAAAACGTTGAATGTTTTGCTTGTAAACAAAAAGACCACGTTCGTACACACTGCCCGAACTCTCAACAGGAAAACTGAATATTGTTAGACTTTCGGGAGCGAGTTTAACTACTGATGTAAGAGCTCCTCAATTTACTCCTTTTCCTCGGGTATGTAGAGTTCTTAGAAATTTTAAAACTTTTGAATTCGAAGGCACGGTAGATAATAAGACTTGCATATTCAAAATTGATTCAGGTTCAGATGTTTCTATTTTGAATTCAAAATTTGTTGACGAAAATTGCCTTTGCATTCCTCTCATTCAGGATTCTTTGAAATACCCTACAGGTGAAAGTGTTCCTATTAAATTTAAGACTATTGTTCAGATTTGTTTAGGTAAATATTCTGTTCGTATGATAGTTTTTGTTGCCGATATAATCGATGATTGTATACTTGGCTGCGATTTTTTGAATAATTCCGGAATTGCAGATTCTATTAATGACATTTTTTCTAATGTTCCAAACTCTGTTAGGACTAACGTTAACCAAAAAATTTGTTGTAGAATTATACAATTAAGTACTGAATTTCCTGCTCAACTACAAGATTTACTTGAGAAAAATTCAAAAGAGTTGAATTTTTCTCAAAAGAATAAATTTTCACAACTTCTTACTGATTTTCAAGATATTTTTGAAGATAACGATGTAACAGGTAAAAGTAACCTTATTGAGCATACAATTCAATTAACAGATTCAGTTCCTATTAAACAATCGGTTCGTCCTATACCATTTCATCTGAAAGCTGAAGTCAATAAAATGATTTCAGACATGCGAGACCAAGGTGTTATTGAAGAATCTTCCAGTTCTTGGTGTTCTCCGATAGTGTTAAAAAAGAAAAAAGATGGTGCGTGGAGATTTTGCGTTGATTTTCGTAAATTAAATTCAAAAACAGTTAAAGATTCTTATCCTTTACCTAGAATAGATCACACTCTAGACAAACTGGCTGGAAATTCTTGGTTTTCCACTTTAGACTTAAAAAGCGGTTATTGGCAGGTAAAAATCCGTGAAGAAGATAGAGAAAAAACTGCTTTTTCAATTGGTAACGGTTTATGGCAATTTATTGTTATGGCTTTCGGGTTGTGCAATGCTCCCGCTACTTTCGAGCGACTAATGGAGAAAATTCTTCGAGATATTCTTGATGATATTTGCTTAATCTATCTAGATGATGTCATGGTTATGGCTAAATCATTTGATGACATGATAGACAACCTTAGGACTGTTTTTTCAAGGATTCGGCAAGCAAATTTGAGATTAAATAAAAAGAAATGTAATTTTTTCCAACGTGAAGTAGAATATCTTGGTCATATAGTGTCCGAATTCAGCAAGAAAACAGATCCTAAGAAAATTGAAACGATAACTCAATGGCCGATTCCGGTAAACAAAGATCAAATTAAAAGTTTTACTGGATTGTGTTCTTATTATAGGCGTTTCATTAAAGGTTTCTCTTCTATAGCTAAACCTTTGTACAATTTGGCAGATCGAAAAGATATTTTTGTTTGGACGGATGAATGTCAAACTGCATTTTTAAATCTGAAAAAGGCTCTGTCTTCGCCACCTATCTTAGCTTTTCCTCGGTTAAATTCACCTTTTCTGTTGGATACTGATGCTTCTAATCATGGTTTAGGTTCTGTCCTTTCTCAAAATCAGGATAATAGAGAAGTCGTTATAGGTTATTATAGTCGCGTCTTGTCTAAGGCAGAAAGAAATTATTGTGTAACTCGTCGCGAATTACTAGCAGTTATAGATTCTGTAAAAACTTTCATCATTATTTATGCGGTCGACCTTTCTTCATCAGAACTGATCATTCTGCTTTAACATGGCTACTTTCGTTTAAGGACTTAGATGGTCAGTTAGCAAGATGGATAGGAAAACTTGATCAATATGACTTTCAAGTTTTACATCGTAAAGGTATTTCGCATGGTAATGCAGATGGACTCTCGAGAAGACCCTGTAACAGTTTATCTTGTACTTATTGTGCGAAATTAGAATTTAAATTCTTAAATAACAGTTGTACTGTAGGTCGTATTTGTTTTGAAGAGTCTTCATTAACTGATTGGCGAAAACATCAACATCAGGACAATGTCATTAAGACCATTTTAAATTGTAAAAAGAATAACATCAAACTTTTATGGCAAGATGTTTCTTCGGAGGATGAATCTATAAAATTATACTTGTCTCAATGGGATTCGTTGTTAGTTGTAGATGATATCTTATATAAAGAATGGATTAGCCCAAATTTGAAGTTCAAAATTCTTCAATTGATTGTACCGAAAAACTTTACCAATATCGTTTTGAAAGAAGCTCACGATTCTCCGTCAGGAGGTCATTTTGGTGTAAATAAAACCTTAGATAAGATTCGTAAAAGATTTTATTGGGTTTCTTATAAAAGAGATGTTGAAAATTGGTGTAAGTCTTGTTCCACTTGTGTTGCTAGAAAAGGTCCATCTGATAAAGGTCATAATCAGATGAAGATTTATAATGTAGGATTACCATTTGAAAGACTTCAAATGGATATTTTAGGCCGTTTTCCAATTTCTTCTTTAGGAAATAAGTATCTGTTAGTTATAACTGATTGTTTTACGAAATGGGTAGAAGCTTTTCCTCTTCCTAATATGCGAACAAAAACTATTGCTGAAGTGCTTGTTCGAGAAATTGTATGTCGATATGGAGTTCCTTTAGAAATCCATACTGATCAAGGCACTAATTTTGATGCTATTTTAATAAAAGAGTTATCTGATCTGTTAGGTATTAACAAAACACGAACAACACCCCTACACCCTCAATCAAATGGACAAGTAGAAAGACAGAACAAAACAATTTTAGACTATTTATCTAAATACATCGCAGACAATCAAAAAGATTGGGATCGGTGGGTTGCCTTATATCTTTTGGCTTACAGATCCTCGACTCATGCTACCACCGGCGTTACACCAGCTGAAATGTACACTGGTGCCGATCTACGACTTCCGTTGGATTTATTACGAGGATCACCTCCCAACCGAGAAGAATTGTTAACTACTGATTACGTACAACAGTTAAAATCAACACTTAACACTATACACAATTCGGCACGACAAAACATCGCTATTGCTTCTCAAAGAACAAAGAAAACTTATGATAAGACAGCTAGACATGTTCATGTTCCAGTAAACCAAAAAGTATGGTTCTTGAACCCAACCCTCGCAAAGTCAAAGGAAAAACACCAAAACTTCAGAGTACTTGGGTAGGACCTTACAGAATCGTCAAAAAGATTAACGACGTGGTTTTCTGCATCCAGCAATCACCAAAACACAAAAAGAAGATTGTACATATTGATAGGTTAGCTACATACCACGATAGGTAACACACTTACCTTTCTCACGGTTATTTTGAGCTGTGGTTTTTCCCGTGAGATATAAGACGAATGTCAAGGTAATATACAAGGTGAGGTCCACAGCATGATAATTCCCCACCCTTGTAAAAATCCAACAGGTTATACACTACAACATTACACAACAGACTCAAGGTTTAAGATTGAAGATTCAAGGTTTAAGATTGAAGATTCAAGGTTTAAGATTGAAGATTCAAGGTTTAAGATTGAAGATTCAAGGTTTAAGATTGAAGCTTTTCAAGACACGGGCTTCTGTTCTTTAACGGAAGAATAAACTCGCTTGACAAAGTTGACATCTTGGTTCAAGGTTCACGATTCAAGGTTCAAGGTTCAAGAGTCAAGATTTCTGAGTATTTTGTTTTATTTAGATTGTCGGAGCGACAATTTGAATGAAGGAGGAGCAATGTAGTATATTCGATAAGTTCCAATTTGTTGGTTACTAAGTGATTGT